ATAACCTAAGCAAGGAGTGTGGCCTGTAAGGGGGTGCACCAGCACCTTCAGGAGGTCCACATGCACCCCCATGCACCTTCTGTGCATCACCACTGATTTCCCCTGGCAGAAGAGGATCATCCTTGTATGTGTGTACCTGTCCCTGCCACCAATAGGGCATAAATGATCCCATTTCTCTTTATTCGATAAGATAAAATGCCAAGTTCAGAAAAGTCTTTAGGAGTGGGGACCTTTCTACTTTCCAAGGCAAGGCAAGCATATTTATGTGGCATCCAAATAAGGCATAAGTGCCCAAAAGTACATAAGTTATATAAGTGCCATGTAGGCATTGAAGGTAAAATAGGATTTATCCCATTATCTTCTGCCATTTGTATGGCAGATTCCTTACTCCAGCTTCTGGTAGAGGTGCGAAGGCAAGGCCCAGGTAGCCCCAACTGACTCCCTATGTCTGTGCACAGCTCAGAAGCAGTGGAAAGCTGAAAGCAGTGCTCATCACATAGATCACTGGAATTGGGGCTGCTTTGTTGGCAAAAAATGCCAGGTGAGCAGCACAACAGAAGTGGGCATAAATCACAGAAAAGGTTAACCTGGAGCTTGCTCTTAATGTAAATGCATGTCTGATCTATGCTGGCACAACACAAAGTGTCTACAAGTGTACTTCTTATGCAAACTGGGTTTGCAGTTAATCAGCTCAATGGTATCTTTACGAGAGTATCCTAGCAACTTCCTGCTAGCCAGGGAAAGTCCCAGCTGCCCGTGTACACTGATGCTATTGTTCTCATTGTGCAGACATCAAAACTTTGTAGTTAATCAAAGAGATAATTTAAAACAAGAGACCAAGTTAAATTTGATCAAACAAAGGGAAATTTTATAAATGAACACAGTCACCTAGGGCTCCTCTTACATTACAGCTGTTATCTCAGGACAGGGACTGGTCACAAAGCAAAAAATAAAGTAAAATAAAATAGATCACATGGTTCTGGCAAAAAACTTCCCCTTACAAAAGCGTGCAGCAGAATTTTACTTGAGTGCCCAAAACTTTGTGGGTATGCCACTGCCAGTTCTGCATTTGGAACTTGACTACAAAATGAGCGTTCATTAAAAATGTATACTTTAGCACACAAACAACCACCTAAACCACACTATAGGTAGGACCAAAGGCCTGGATGGAGTTAGTCCACGAATGCCCAGCTCCCTGCAGCTTTGTTTTAGCCTTGTAAAGCAAATGCTATCCTCTCCCCTAATAACATTGTTACAGTCTGGGTAAAGCTTCTTTTGGGTGGACAGGCTCTCAGGTCTGAACAAGTCTGATGAACCTGCTCTTAACCTTCCCTGAATAAACTACAGCATTGGATCTTTCCTTGGCCTCCCTGGCACATGCTATTTCTCATGGATAAAAGACCTCATAGTGCTCAGGACCAGTTCTGACATCCACGCGCATATAAACTCTCCCTTTCCTAGAATTTGTATCCTGTGAGCACTCTGCATTTATTCTTCACCTCCTGGGCAAACAATAGTTGAAAAAAAGAGACATGAATTTTAAGACTTAAAAAACCCCCCAAATCAATCACCCTTTGCTTTACTTAGCAAAAGAAATATGCAGTTCTAGACAAAATACTGAGCACCTCTATTCATGTTTCTGCCTCAGTTTCTCACAACTTTAAATGTTCTTGGGTTTAGGTCCTATAGGATTTCCATAGCTTTTCTTCCAAATCATGTACAGCCAATTTCTTATTTTTGCTCTCCCCTCTCTCTCTAAACTGGCTAGTAAGGGATCTTCTTTTTATAATCTTCAGTCTCCTTTGTCATGTTTCACACCATCAGCTTCATCAAGTAATCAGATTCTCTCACCAGGTGATCTGTTGCTTACGTATCACCTTTCTGGAGCTCAGGTTTCCAACGCTTGTTTGCCCTGGGTGGCAGCAACCTCTTTTTCCTGTTGCCTTCTAATGAGCTTAGCTCAATAAGCAAGGAAAGGGCATCAGAGAAGGCAATGAAGCCCACATTCAAAGTATAGTTTGTAGTCTGATGCTGCACTGCACAGACCCCAACATCAACCAGTGTTCAGAAGCCAGAAATCATCAGGTTTCTAAAAATCAAACATCTTATATTTCTATTTTGATTTACATCCACAAAGATCAAGTCCTTTATAAACGTAATAGGGAGAAACAGAGCAATCACTTCACTACCACCTTTAAAGTGATACTTAGGCTACTACATAAGAGCACAAGCCATCAACATGCAGCACTTGAGCCTGCAAAGGAATGATGAATATTATGTACTAGTGGTTCTACATTAATGGCTCGTAAAGTGCTTTCAGATTGCAGAAATGCTTTTCTTATAATGGAGGATCATCTGTTAGTTTGCAAACAGAGATAGTGCTGGCTAGTTGGTAACAGAGCCCAATACTGCTGTTTAATTTTCCAAAAACCCTTTTCTGGGAAAAGCAAACTAACTGAAATCCTCAGCAGCTGCTTTGTATATTGCAACTGTAGCCAAATTTGCTTGCAAGCCACTCAAAAATTGTAATTTGTAGCTGGAAAGAGGATAAACTAGAGAGATACAAAGTACATGAGAGGAAGGTTGGGGGAGTCAACTTGCCCAGTATTTTCAAAGGAGTTTATTTTTATCTCCTTAAAAGTAGATCAAACACATTTTGGGGGCTAAGTACCATGGCTGTGTCAGACAAAGTTTGGTATTAGAATGGGTAGGCTCATGATCTTAGAAAATGGTCTACAGTATGAAAATCCTTAGGGATCATGGATATACAATTGAAATGGCAGGGAAATTCCAATCAGCCGACTATAACAGACCTAATCATTAGGGCTGGGTGAAACTTCAGCAGCTGTTTCATTTAGAAGCTGTTTCAGCACCTGGAACACTAAATCCGAAACAAAAAGGAAGGCTCCGAAACATCTCTGAAACTAAATGAAACCATCCGAAATGTTGCAGAAATGTTTCAGACGTTTTGGAGGTGGGCTTGCAGGAAAACAGAAACTCAGAAAAGGGAGCGGGAAGGAGAGGGGAGGAAGGACTGCTCAGATATTGACATCTGTAGCTGGCCAGTGTCTGCGATCTGTCCCTGAGGTCCCTTTCAATCCCAGTGCTTTTCGGGAGGGGATGGCTGCCTGCTGTCATCCTGCACGCTGATCTGGGAGCCCGCGCCCCGCGGGAAGAGTCTGGCACAGCCCAGCAGCCCTCCTTTTAAAGTGCCGGGAGGCTGGGACTGGGTGGGGAATGGGGCTGGGCATGACAACCATGGGGGCTTCTCTCACAGCTCCCCCGACTGGGACACAGGCAGGCACAGCCAGAGCTGCAGGAGAAGCCCCCATGGCTGCCCTGCCCAGCCTCATCCCCTGCCTGGCCCCAGCCTCCTGGCACTTGGAAAAACAAAACAAAACTAAAAAAACCCAAACACCCCGCACTCCCCGGCTGTAGCAGTGGTGATCAGGGCCTCTGGGGGCTCATGGCAGAGTCCCCCCATACAGTGTAGGGCAGTGGGGGGCAGCAGGGATCGCCCCTCCCACTTGGCATCTGTGCAGTAGCTGCCCCATGGCATGGCTGCAGCGCAGCTCAGCAGAGCGCCACACACTGTCTAGGAGCTGGGGTGGCTCCACCTCTCAGCTGGAGCCTGGCAGCGCTCAACTCCAGAGGCCCCAGCTCCCGGACAGTACGCAGCGCCCTCCTGGGCTGCACTGCACCCGTGCCATGGGGCAGCTGCTGCATGGGTGCCAAGCAACGGGTGGGGGAGGATCCTGCTGCCCCCCACTGTGTAGGGGGGCTCTGCCATGAGCCCCCAGAGGCCTCAATCACCACTGCTACAGTTGGGGTGTGCAGGCCTTTTTTCTTTTTTAGAAGTGCTGGGAGGCTGGGGCCGGGTGGGACAGCCATGGGGGTTTCTCTTGTGGCTCCTGCCATCCAGGGAGAGGCAGGCACAGCCGGAGGAGCCATGGGAGAACCTGCAGCCACCCAGCTGTGCCTGTCTCTCTCTGGCTGATCCAAATCTCTGAATTGGCGCCAAAACAGAGTTGAAACTCCAGAACAGATTCAGCTGAATTGAGATGGAACAGTGATCTGAAACACCAAAACAAATCACTGTCCCTCTGAAATGGCTGAATCGGAAACAGAAACGAAACACAGCTGTTTTGCAGAGCCCTACTAACCATGAGTCTGCAGCACTGCTTTTGCAGGAGGTAACTCTTGCAGCAGCACAGCAGGCAGACATGTTGATTCAGTACTCACCCAGAGGTAAGACAATCACTGGCATGATTTCCTGCGGCTTTGACTTGAGAATCTCATCTAGCTAGTGAGGAGAAGCAGCTCTTCTAAGTATTCCAAGGTGCAGGTCACAAAGGAACCGTGATACAAAAGAAAAGTTACCAGACCTCCAGCAACCAATCAGAAATTCCCAATATTCTGAGTAGCTGTTTAATAAAATGTGGAAGCAACAGGTCAGACCCTGCACCATTATAGTCAATAAGAGCAGGTTAGGCTTTTTAGGTAGTCTGAGAACATCAGGTAATCTTGGATACAAAATGGTTAGTGAGAAGGAAATCAAGCTGAATCTAGCTCTGTGGGTACTTTGCTTTTTAAACAGGAAAGCAAAAAAAAAGTTATTTGATGACTCACAAACAGATCCTTTTGTCATACATCACTTCCCTATAAAGAACTGTGCTCAGATAAGTTCTGATCCAAAGCTCACTAAAATCATGCTCTGAATTTCAACAAGCTTCAAACCTGGTCTATACAAAGAGGTTTCACTATCTGTGGTCCTAAGTAGGATGCAAATTTCAGTTTACTTTCTGGTATGTATGATTTTGCACTGGCTTTTATTCTGTACATTGTGTGCCTTTATTTTAAGAACACACACATTATTCAGTGTGTGTTCAGTATTATTAGATCAATCTTGACACAGAGGAAATCAGTACCAGTGCAGATGAAAATCATATGTCCAGGCAAACTTTGGTAAAGTTCTGAATAGGCAACCAATACACAAAATATTTACTCAATTCTTTTTTAATAAAAATCATTTTGTTAAAAATCAACATTTTAATGATTAAATTTTTACACAGAAAATAAATCAGATGTTACAAAACTGACATGACATAATAAATAGAACTGAAATTAATATAGGAACTGCATTATCACAATATCTTCACAAACTTTAAAAATGATTATTTCTATGGCATGTTTAATTACATTTTCTGAAATTGTGCAGTTCTCCTGGCTTTGTATTAAATGAGTAAATACTAATGACTTATTGTTACACAAAACAAAATGACTTCATAGTAGAAGTCCCAGGCAAATTGGTGCTACTTTTATATTAGATCATGAAAGTTTTCGAAGTGCACAGTTAGATTAATTCATGAAGAAATGTTGTGGTTTCCCAAATTATGCATGGAGTTTCAAACTGAGGATTACAAATCTAGCCCCTCTGAATGCACTGCTGAATATTAGAACAGATTTTGGCCTCTGTTACAGTCTCTTGTGGCACTATGAAAGGGATGTGAAACTATTTTAGGTGGGCAGGTCACACAATTCCCCTGGCTGGAAGAGTGCTGGTCTGGTGCTGAGATAGCACAGCTGGCTTTTTAACACCCCGTCCTAGCTTGCCCTGATGAAAAGATGCATTAGGCATATGTTAGAGACAGCAAAATCAAGTCATGCTCTGCTCCTGTGCTCCCAGGGCAGAACAGTTCCAGTCTCTTTGGAGCCCTTACAAGCATAGTTAGGAGCAGCTCTGGAGCCATATTAGTCCCTGGCAGCCCTGGGGATCAGAGAAGCATAGAGGTGATTTAAAGCCACCTCTGACTGCCTCTCTCACCAGCTGGCCAATGCAGCTCTAGCAGTCAGGGATCTAGTCTAATCTGACATATCTGAAACCAAACTTTGCATGGCCAGAAATTCTGCTGCAAGATGACACCAACTCAAGAGGAAAAACTGGCTGAGATGGTGCATTTTCTATATAGGTCCTTCTGTAGTACCAGCACTATAGTATACAGAGCCTTTTCCAGTCTCTCTCTTCACCCGTGTCTTCTTTCCAGGTAACTGCCTGTCCTTCCCAGAAGTGTGTTCCCTTTGGGGTTAACATTGCATGTTAAGGGTTAACATTGCATGTGCCTTCCCCAGATGCCACTATGAAGTACTTGAATAAATACATCCAAGACAGAACATGCTGTAGCCAGAGAGGCACTCCAAATCAAGAGAAAAAGTGCTACGGGCTGCCTCCAGATAAAGCACCAAGTTCCGTACCATCATGCATAACAGCTGGGCGGAGGCGTGAAAGCAGGCCCTCTCCCACAGCAGCTCCCTGAGCTATTACCCAACATTGGTGTTTATTTTTCTCACCATTTGACAGTAACTAATCGAGCTCCCCTGGGAACAAATTACAGCCCTCTGCTTTATATGTTAGACTGGAAAGTCCGTTACTAGAATTGTGAAAGAGAGCAAGTAAAAGACACAAAGCCAAATATAGGCATCCACCAGGTGCCTTGTTAGTGGTTCACAATGCTTTAAAAATGTTTTCAAAATTTACTTCCAGTTATGATTTTTTGTTCACATGGAAACTAGATTAACAGCCAGGGTCTGGCCAGGAAGATGCAAGCAGCATACTGTATATGGGCACATTTTACTGGCATTTACAGCAAAGGACTAACATCACCTAGTTGTAAAAACCAAGCTGAATGACTAAATTAGGAAGAAATGTGGCACTGGATTATGGACAGCTCCAGAATAAGTTTTCTTATATGCAGAAAGTAAAATTTTGTGAAGAGAGAAACAGCAACAATATGAAATGGAAAGAATCTTATATATTTAAGGTATCCAAGTTACTTTTTTTACATTATATTTATCCCAATATAGGAGACAGCTTTCTCCAATTCCAAAAGTCAGCTACTCGATTTATAGAAACAGAGGCTAATAACTTTCTGTCTTCTCATACAAATATCTGGTTAGGTTACATTCTGCACTGTCAACTTTTCTCACTCACTATTTTGAAAAAATATTTGCAATTGAATAAGTCAGACTTTACAGTATTTCTGAAAATGATTTTAAAATATACTAAAATATTCTATGTTTACATAATATTTTACATATTTTAACTAAGGTTAGTGTGTGTGTTCTGGGGATTCAAACCCACTTCTACTAAGAGAAGTATTACTGTGGCATAAGTTTTCTCAAAGTAATATTTACAGTCACTGCATAAGACTAGCTTATAACAAAGTAGGGCCATGGCTCAGGGTTCTCCAAAACACAGGTTGCATTTTCCCTCCTTCCCCATTCTCTTCTTCTTATAACTGGGGGAAAGTACATAAAAGGAACAAGACCAATAACTAGGGCTATTGCAATAACAGACCTTCCTTTGAAAAAAGTGACTGTCCTGGCTCTGAAAATGGCATTGTGTTGCCTGGCAAGAAAGAGTCTGGAAAAGTGGCATGGGAGCTTTGTAGGGCCATAAACAGAGAATAATGAGCAAAGCTGCAGAGATCACATATTTGGACTCTATTTTCCCTTCTATCCACGTCTGTGGAACCGAATTAATAACAGCCTTTTGGAATGCCACCAATCTCGTTTGGCAGCTGCACAAATCTGATCATGTTAATGGCAATGCAAATCCAGAAGGAAGACTGGACTGTAATTAGGGTGAAAACACCGTCAACTCCTGAATGAAGCAGCAACCAAATACCCATTACTCAGCTGTACTACCTGGGAATATGCCAGGAAATTCCCTTAAGACTCTTGGTTGTGTGATATATATAAAATAAATGCTCCCCCCCACTGCCTTTATCTTTGATACATGTATTTGGACGTAAACTGTTAAAAACCTCTCACTACACAAAGAGCATCACTTCGGTCAAACTGGTTGAGCAAAATGTGCAGCATATATTTTCTTTGTAAATATGTTCATCTGTTGAAATAATTTCTTCAGGTGTTTCAGTAGATCTGAAGCTTCAAATCTGTATCTAATAAATATTGTATTAAAATAAATTTATAGCAATTACCCAAGGAACATTATATAACATATGGTTCTTCTATATCATCTTCTAGAGAATCAACAGCCTTAACTGCTGGCCTGCTTGCTGTGTGCTGCAAATGGAGTCTATTTGGGTTAAAACTTCTTCCTTCACTGAAGAAAAGATCACTGTCTTCTTTAACTTTGGCTTTACTGCCTTTATCCTGAGCAAGAACATTACTGGAATCCCAATCTCTGTCAAAAGGACCTGATTCACTTCTGTTAGAGGGCAGGACAGAGTTGGCACTGGTTCCAAATAGCTGTTCCATTAAATTGGATTTTTTCTCTTTCTTAGTGCTGCAATTTTTATTTTCCTTAATATTTTTTTCTAAGTAGTCACTTTTCTGGTTAAGCCAGTTTGGCTTCCCTGATCCTTTCCCAGATGCTTTTGCAAAGGAAGGTACATAGCTACCAAATGTCAAATCATCACTTGACTCTGTGGTCCTAGCATTTTGCTGCTTCTGCCCTTCTGCTTTTATGCCAGTATCCTGGCTGTCATAGTGTGAAAATCCATTGACCACCTTCTCAGCGGTCTCTAAGTGCTGAGAGATTCCCTCAGTTTTCTCCAGAAAGTCAGATTTTGTTGCAAGCTGTGCTTGGGAAACAAATCTCATGTTAATGGCATTTTGAGTTTCTCTGTCTATTTCATTCATCTTATCAAGCAGCAACTGCTTTTTTCGTCGCTCTTCTTCTAGATCTTCACTGTTTTGCCTCTCACTTTCAGGTTTGCGTATTTCGGTCTCCATCTTTGTCTTTTCTTCTTTATCCAATAAAAAGTTGTTTTCTTTTTTCCTTCTGTCAAGCTCTTCTTTTTCCCACTCTGCGTGAAATATTTTAGAAAGTTATTTCAAATGTTAAACATAAAAAGCCTTTTAAGGAGAATAGGAACAGATAGACATAACAATTAAATTAAAACAGCTTATGTAAATACCTGAAGGGCAAGTCCCTACTGCCCCTTTTAAAACAGTTTAAAGCCACATCTGATCACAGCCTACTATTTCTGGATGTGTAACTGGGCATTATTCACTTTTTTAGAGGTTTGAAAGAGCTGCATTTTCTGCTGACTGTCCTTTGCTTGTATTTGAACTGTGAAAAACATATCTGTAACAGGCTGGTCTGTCCACTTAAGGGCAGTAAGCTGTGGGGCCTTCTGATAACCAGGGAGTGTTCCCCAGTGGAAAGAAATGGGAGAAGGCAAACAGTGAGGGAACAGTTTGCAAGGAGAAAGGAAGCTGGCTGCAGCAGCAGTGGTGGGAGATTTGGGGGCGCTGGGGTGCAGGGGGTGGTGCAAGGCAGGTTGCAGAGCCACCCCTCCCTCCTGCAAGGCTGTTGCAGGGCCAGTGCGTGGCAGGGGTGCTGGATGTGGCGCTGCGGTGGCGGGGCATGGCGGTGGTGCTGGAGCAGTGGAGCCGCATTTAGGGGGGCTAAGCCCTGTTAGCTATGGCCTTCCGCTGCCTATGGGCTTGCAGGCTGAACAGCTGGGCTGCTGTGCTGGGGCCATAGCAGAAGGGGCTCCTAGTGTCCAGACAGGACAGAAGGGTTTTGCTTTGTTTTATGTTTAAAGACTGTTTTTTACTTTAGAAGACTAGCTAAGGAACTCCTCAGACAGCAGACTCGGCTGCAGAAGCCAGGATTAATCAACACGCTTACAATGCCACCAAATTACGTTAGTAACTGATTATCATGGTGTTTTATGTCAGCATCATTGACTTCAAGACAACTCCAAAACATACATTTTTCTGAAATGAACCTGCTGCTGCAAAGCACAGTTACAAGAGATTGAATATTTCACTTCTACATTGCATGCAAGTCTGCTTGCAGCTCTGTGTGTTGAAAGCACCTCTGGACAAACTTTTTGTGCACCATCTGCTGAAGGCAAATGCATATCTCAGACATGCTTTGAACAGACATAAAAGGTGCAAGGAATGAAAATGAATCCTAAACTACACGTACAACTGGTATAAGCATCTGGACGCACACAATCAGAATCCCCCCTCACAACAAAGGCCATTTTCTGAATATCTGCCCCTCTAAAAGATGTTTTCTCTATCAGAATAAAAAGTTAAGTTACATGGAGATTTGAAAAAGAACTCCTTCATACAATTTCCCTTTGACTCATACCTGTAGAAGAATAGATAGATTATTAGGAATCCTCTCAGAAGAAATGGGGTGTAGAACATGGGTCTGATAGCACTAATAATTCTAGTTATCTGTTGTACTTCAGACAAATCTTATAAAACAAACTGCAACAGTCAATGTTATCCATATAGATAAGCATCATCACTATGGAGGACAAAGGCAAATGAACAAGTTAAGATGAAAGTCTTACCTACATAAGATGGAAGAAATGGTTGATAAGAGGACCATCTGTCCCCAACATACCACTGAGCAGATTCTCAATTTATGTAAATTATCTATTCTCTTCAATGGAGCTATGGCAGGGGTGGGCCATTATTTTGGCTGGAGGGCCACTTATCCAGTTTTGGCAAGCTGTCAAGGGCCGCGTGGGTAGCCCTGCCCATTGACAGGTGCCCCACCCCATGGTTATGATCTTGGGACCAATGTCCCAATGTCTTGGAACCAATGTCCCAGGGCCAGCACCGGTGGAGCCCAAAGCAGGGTGCAGGCTGGCAAGGGTCTGTGGAGCTGGGCTGAGCTGCACCAGCAGGGAGATGGGGAGCTGGCCTGGCTCCATAGAGTCCCTGACGGCCAGGACCCTGTACTCCTGCTGCCCTGCTCTGGGACTTGCTGGTGCTGGCCCCGGGAGACACTGGTGAGGGCCCCGTGCTCCCACTGGCTCCCTGCCCGCTCACTCCCAGTGCCCCCCCAGCCCCGTGGTACAGGCAGGGGGCAGCGCACAGCTCTGACCCCCTGCTTGCTGGCAGGGAAGGAGCTGCTGCTGAGCATGGGGAAAAGCAACCCCTCCCCTGCCCCATGGCCAGTGCTCCCTGCTGCAGGCACTTGCAGCCCATATGTGAGCAGCCACAGTGCGGGGCACCGGCCACGGCATGGGCGAGGGGCCACCAGCTTGTAACTTGCCCCTGCTGCCAGCCTGGGCCCTGTGCGGCTCCAGGCTTGCCCGCTGGGGCTGTGCCATGGCAGCAGCAACTGCGTTTGCTGCTGCTACCTGCCTGGAGCTTGTGTGCTGGGCAGCACAGAGGAGGTGGTGGCAAACACTGCCCGGCGCAGCAAGTGGGGGGTGGGGCCCACAATTGCTGCTGCTGTGGCACAGCCCCGGTGGGCGAGTCTGGAGCTGCACAGAGCCCAGGCTGGCAGCGGAGGCAGGTTACAAGCTGGTGCTGAGCATGGGGAAAAGCGGCCCTTCCCTGCTCTGTGGCCGGCGCCCCACACTGCAGCAGCTTGCAGCCTACGTGGGGCTGCCTCTGCCTGCTCAGGACAGCCCTGCGCGGTCTGCAAACAGCTGCAGCAGGGAGCCCGGGCCATGGGGTGGGGGAGGGGCCGCTTTTCCCTGGGCTCCTTCCATGTGCTCCCTCCCCCCAACCTTACCTGAGTTTCTGGTGCAGGGCAACCCCATGGTTCCAGGCCCCAGGGGGGTGGGAATAGGCAGGCTCTGATGTTGTAGGAGCCCGCCAGGGCTTTCCCTGGGTCCTACTGCCCTTGGCTCCTGTCACTTCTGATGGGGACCAAGGGCAGATAAATATTAATTTTCTAAATTTTTGAGGGGCCCCTCAGGCTGGACAGAATGGCATCGCGGGCCAGATCCAGCCTGTGAGACATATTTTTCCCACCCCTGAGCTATGGTAATATAAACCAGCCCCCAGAATCTGGCTATTGATTTTCAGAATTCCATGGTTTTGCTCAGCTAAACCAAATGTTCTTGCCAATTCATCACACAAAAATATTATTTGCAATGTAAAATTAAAAATCTGACAGGATGCAACTTATTCATAATATTTGCCTTATTGTACCATCCCAGAATATTTAAGCAATAATTTTAATAAGTTCCTGGAAAGTACTTAAATTGATACGAATTAGTGTGAAATGCAATTATACAAATAGATTTTTCTCCAGCTGCTACTTGTCATAACAGGTAACTAAAAACATCCATGAATATACAGTAGGAACTGTGATTTCAGCTGATATGAATTAAATGGCTGAATGTAAGCTTCCCCCCCACTCCTCCAAAGGAAATATTGTTGAAAGAGCTGTTCTATTGTAATGTATGAGTCCCACCCTAATAATGGGTAGAAAATAACATTTAATTTGAGCTGCTAGTGGTTATGCCATCTCTAACTCAATAAACATAGGTAAAAATGCCCAGTCCTCAGTACTTTAGCTGTTACTAGGGGCACAATAGGGCATGGGACTGAGATGAAATTATATCTCATGATATTTTCAATTTTGATCCTGTTCACAATGTATCATTTATAATTTTCAATTGCAGTGCTATTCCTCTTCTAAAATCTTTGTTTTTTTCAAGAGGATCTTTATAAGCCTCATCTGACTGACATTTTATTTGGTTTTGATTTTCCAGTTTGGCAGTAGTCACAGTTTTCTTACCATCATGTAGTTTCTGGACTTTCTCCTCTAAGGCCTGCAATTCTTGTTCATGTTTCATTTTTTCTTCTCTTTCTCTGTTGCGTTCATGTTTCAGAAGCTCTGCTTGTTCTTTCCACTTGTTTATTTGTGTTTCCTGTTCCTGAAGTAAATTGATAGAAATTTGCTAGAAAATTAACAACTTGTTTTGCTTCTTTGACACAACTTTATGTTCATAGTTAAACATGATGTATGGAGACTCAGTGGAAAAGCTTTAGCAAAATCACACCAGCTCAGGATCTGTCTATTATTAGGTCAAATATGGTCTTAAGTACCCGAGAGAAAATTAACAGACCACTGGTTTTATTCTGTATGACATCTTTCACAAAAACAGAACCCCTCTTTGCCACACACTTGAGTTTCCAGACTGAAGAGGATCTTATGGAGTAACTGGATCACAGAAGCACAGCTTTTGTGAGCAAGACTCACTTCACTAGAGCTCTTTCTCATTAAAGCTTATGCATCTCTGATTCAGTTAATCTATAAGATTCATCTCTACCCTGCCTTCTGCCTCACTTCAAACTACCATAACTAACTAACTCATTAGAGTTTAAAATTATTTAATGGGAATTGGATTAGGATGTAAAAGTCAACAGCTGTCTTTTCACTGACTTTAGGTATTGGATCAGGCCCTTAATTTCCTCTGTAACAAACAAGCAAGCAACCCCAGGGGAGCAGGCCTACTCAACTCAAGTGACTGGCCTGGTAAAACTAGGGTTAGGCTATTTCAGTGTCATACAGCACAAGCATAACATTCAATAATACACAACAGAAGACGAATTAAACAGCAAGGGTATTAAAAAGGTAGTTTCAATTATAATATTGGGTGAAAACATCAGTCAATGTGGCTGAATTGCAGAAGGGAAGGCACTCATCCTCACACATGCACACACATGTACACAGAGCATCAATGACAAACTGAGTAAAAAGAAGTCATGCTTGGCCCAGACATCCGGCTTTTTTTTTGAAGACATGGAAAAGAAATCTAGCAAATACTGTTTCCCTCAACAAATCATCAAACTGGCAGGATCATACTGCATATATTAACTGCACACATGATGATTATCTAATGTATTCTCTACTTCTCATATATAAACAAGGGTCCATATTTGCCAAAGTCTCTGAGTACAGTTTGGCCTACTCCAAAACCCAAAATTCAAGTCACTGTCCACCCTTGCCTGGGAAGTTTGGAAGAATCACAAATCCAGTTTCTAATTTTGCAGTTCATGCTTATTTTTTCTAGAATAAAGTCTGTCATTTGGTGAGCTCAGTCATTTGGTGTGCTTGTTGAGTAGAAACAATGAAAGAAAATGCAGCAAGGAGGAACTAAGGAAACAATTATGTTAAAATAATTTGGCTATAACATTTTTCATATTTTTGCTTCGAAAAATGCAGAAACAAAGAACACTGTCAGTTGTCTTTGAGCCCATGTTTAAAAGAGATTAGTAAAACATGAAAATAATAAAAATATGTCCCTGAAAAAGCAAAACTTTCAGATATGATTAAAGCAACAATGCAGGCGAATGAACAATATCACCACAACATACTGGGTGCATCTACATGTGTCTCCTTTTGGAAGTACTAAATGACAGCACAGTAACAGCCCATACTGTGCTGTGCTGGCGGCACATGGTTACTTCTGGTACACTGCTGTAGCAGAGCACTATACTAAGGAAGTGTGTTGCTACGGCGAGGCAGCAGCGGCATCATAGTTTTTGCCCATGAATGCTAGGTTGCTGTAGCATGTTGCTACGACAACATAGTGTCACGGGTAGATGTGCCCAGCAATTGCCAGCTTTACAGGCAATCCCCACTTAGTGCTCTTAATTGGTTCCTGAACAACTGAGTGTTAAATGAAATGAGCGTTAAGTGAAACAAAAGTATTTGATGACCCAAGATGGCAACTGCAATTGTTTTTAATGACCCAAGATGATGACTGTGAGCATTATAGCAAAACTTGCTAAGCGCTCAGTGAAATCAAGTATCAGTTTCAAATGAGCTTTATAGCAAAATAGCGCTAAGTGAAGCAGTGTTGAGTGTGGGGTGCCTGTATACAGAACCCTGTTCGTTCCATGTTTTGGTTTTATTAATCAAACCTCTTCCATGGAATTAATCCAAGCTACCTTGGGGAGTCATCACCACTTCCTACCTTATGTTCTGCAGACTTATGTAATGGTCAGTCACAGATATAAGATTTGTTAGAGTGTGGAGACAAGGGTTTCCAATACAGACCTTCCTTGTGGAAAAGAATGACTGTGAATGTTGCTACCCTCCGAACAAAGAGCAACACTTTTGTTTTCCATTTTGCTTTCCAATAATTAGAAAAAAAAAAAACAAATGTGGCAAGGGAAAGAAATATGAGACCCTTTTGGATATTTCACTTTTAAGCAAAGTCTCATGTAGTCTATGATTCTGCAGCTATGGAATCCATAGCCTCTGTCCTTTAATATCCAATATATACCTTTTCAATTCCTCCGTGTAAATTATATCATGCATACACTTTCAAAATGTTTATACAAGTGTAAGTTAATTTAAGGGTGTTTGCCTACTACACTTGCAGCTCGCTTCAATTTTAGCCTTATGTCTCAAAAGAATTAAAATCAGTGAGATACTTTGAAAAGAATAACAGGCAAAAAAAAAAAAAATACGCCCAGGAGAAAGATAAAGGAAATTTATCTCAGGGTTTACACAGGGAGCTGGGAAGAATTATTGAAGTCTGTGATTGTAGAAGAAAGCTGGCAGTTAAAAAGAAATGATAATAAAGGCTCAACAAACACTGAAGAAAGCAGCTAATATTGCTTTACAATAGACTGCTGAATATATATATATATATATATAGAGGAAGAAACCAGAACAATCTGATACCAGTTTAAAACTACACAGAAAGATAATGGTAGGAAAGAAATAATCTGAGCTAATGATAGTCCACTGGAGACAGTGAAACATCAAGTTTGATTGGGGGCACATCAAACGAGAATTTGATAGTTTGACAGTTTGATAGTTTTCCTAAGAGATTAGGATAGCTTTTCTAAAAATGGAAATTGAACTCAGGAAGTTTAACTTGGTAGCTGAATTATTTGGAATGAGCCCTTTATGATTATTGCAAAACTCACTATTCGGAGAAGCATCTCCTCTTCTCTCTGATACGCTGCATCATCCAAAGCACATTCCTCCGGTGGTGGAGGAAATTCTATTGGTGAGCAGTAGCCACTAGTCTGTACTCCTTTTGTAGTCTGTGCTCCTTTTTTGGTGCTTTGGCTGCTGGCTGTAGTGAACATAAACAAAATCAGAGCAAGTTAATTCCATTTTTTTTCCATTTAAAATATCCCTAAATAAAGTGGGTCCGAGATTTTTTTTAAATAGTATTTTTCTATCTTAGCAATTGTAATTGGTGAAATCGATGAATGAGTGTAATTGATGAAATCAGAGCTAATCAAATGGTTATAAAATATGCTGCCAAATTCTATGGAGATTCCCCCAGATTCTGGAAAATATATGAAGAAATTTCTAATAAAGCAAATCCTCAAGTAAGAAAAATAAAGCTGGGTAGTAAATAATTTTATCTACTAAGTTATCTTAAAAAAACCCCCAAACCCTTAGAAACATCTGCCCTTCAATCAACCTAGAGATCTCCTCTATTCCCCCCCTTTCAGATCCTCCTTCTAGAAGAGCAAAATGAGAAACCTAAATATTAGAGAATACACAATCATTTGAATCTTTAAAACTTGCAAATCTAGTCCTTACGGAACTACCGAAGTATCTAACTAAACTGAAAACATAAAATAGTATGTTGTTTCTATTAAAATTATCAGCAGTTAAATTGTTAAAGTCTGAATGAAAAACGGCTTAAAATAGCCACAAAAAATCCTGCTTTCCTTGGTGAGTAATCTTGTTAATTCAGTGAGAAGGGTCTGGCCCTATATGTAGTAGCATTTCAGTCTGCAGTTTCTGGAAGATCCCACCAGCCCGGATAATATTGGGAAGGTTACTTTGGTCATGTGGACTACATGTGCATTTTCAATGAATAATTAAATTCTGGAGTATAAACATCTAAAATCAGATAAACCCTCCACAGAGGTCCACAGAATGACGTGGAAGCATGCAGGTGTATATCGCTAGCGCTTCTAGCTACAAAAAAGATGCCAACTTGGCAACTTGTTTAATTTAATAGGAAACTATTACTAAACAAAACTGTTCTTTTTTATGAGATCTTGGTATGGGGTTGGGTTTAAGAGCTGAAAGCCTGAGCATTTCGTGGTGGGAATATGGTGACTTTGTTAAACTACTTTAGAAAAGCAAATAACCAAATAGGTACACTCAGTATTTTGCAACTAGTACCATAATTTAAGTGGTGTGAAGGCCTAAACATCCTGAATAGCTTGAACAATGCAATAGGGTGTTTTCAAAATAAACGTTAAATTTTCTGCTTACATCCTTTTTTTCTGTGTGTAACATCTGTGTCTTTTTTGGGTGATGGCTTCACCATACGATTAGCATATATGTTTTTTGCTTCCAGTTCTCTTTCCTTTTCCTGAAAATTAATGAGGTAGAGACAGCAGAGTTGAATAGTAATGTTTTATTTAATAGCTGACAAGGTAAACTGTGAACAGGCTAAGCAAATACATATGTTAAAGGAATAAATTCATTTGTCAGTGGACACTGGATATGGTTACTGATTACTAAGCGTTCTTTTTAAAGAGAATGCAATCTTTACTCTATAACTACATGAAGAACTAGTTACCCTTCCTTCTATAGTGCACAGATTTCCTCCTTTCAAAAATCATTCAACTGCCAAAACACTCAAAAATTTAATATTGTATTTCTGTAGACAGCCAAGATAAAACTGAAAGTAAGGTTTCATACCAGCCTTTATAGTTTAATTTGCCTAAATATGCATATACAAGCAGCTCATGTCAATTTTATGGATAATATTAAAATTAAAAATATTTACATTAGGTCATGGGGATACCCTGAGACTTGGGACCCATTGCAATACATATTTGTACCATTATCGGAACTGGCTCTGTCTGTATTAGTGAAAAAGAAAATATGACAGGAGAGGGAAACAGCTAGTACAAGCACCATTACGGAAAGTACTTAAATACCTAACTTTCAGTATGTAAGCAGTGCCTCTGACTTTGATACTTAACTACCTTATGGGATATGGGTCACAAAGAACACATCTTAAGTAAGGTAAGGGCAAAAAATGCCTTCTTTTGCCATCAACCTATTTATAATGCAGCGATAAATTCTTCTCAGGGATATTGACCAAACAATATAAAAATGAATATTGTCCAATACTGGAATATTAATATTAAATGTCTGTTAATATACAATCTTGAATTTGTTTTGGAACTCAGTTGATTATAGAAGTATTTTCAAAAGTATCCTGCTATTCTTTAAAAGCAGGGATGGTAACCTGTGGCATGCATCATAAATGGTCACAGGCAGCCTCTGTGTGTGGCAGATGGAAGATCAGAGAGAGGACAGCAGCAGATAGGGCAGGAAGCAGAAAGCAGAGCAGCAGGTTGGGCAGGAAAAGAGGACAGGAGTGGCACTACATGGGGGCGTGGAGCTATATGAGGGTTGTGCCATGCCTGGAAAAAAGGTTGGCTTCCACTGCTTTAAAAACTGGTCAATTAGAACTTTTTTTTGTAAACAAAAAAAGGTTTTATTAATAGTGCCACTTTAAATTAATTAAAATGAAAGCTTCAAAAATCCAAGTTACTTTCCAAGACACTAGCCATTTGGTATTTCTTACAAATTGGGCTAACAATAACAAAGCTAGTGTCACTTTTATATTTTGCATGGTATTTAGTTGTTTAAAAACAACTGCTCCCAATGGAACTCAGCTGAGCATTTTTTTACCTTATTTTTATAAAATATTTTGGCCCAAATGAAAATGTTCCATTTCTTTTAACAGCAAAACTTATTAAAACAGAATTAAACAATGTGTTGCTTTGTGATTTTTAAAACAATCATTTTCAGAGCCTAAGTGTGGAAAACACATGTCTAACATAAGAAAGTAATTGCTCATGCAAAATAAGCAACTGTGCAAGCAGACTTTCAGTTTCTACATGTAATTAATTTATTTGCAAATTAACTGCACAGATTAGACACATAAACTGCATAAATGTAAACTGCATACATGCACAGATGTAATTTAACAAATCAAACCCCTAATGACTGATTCAGGAATGACTGTGTACTTGACACACTGCTTTTTTTTTTTTACTTAATGTTAATAGTAAATAATAATGAAAAAGAACAGATGTGCCACATATCGGATGTTCATTTTGTAAGGCACTATTAAGATTTCAAGTTTACTTTAAAGTATTCCTGTACATAAAAATGTCCTGAAGTAGTTACAATTCAGTTCCACATGATTTTTACCTTTAGCTTCTGATTTAATTGCCGAAGCTCTTCCAGGAGTACTCTGTTTTCTTCTTGGGCGTCATGTACCTTTTTTTTCTCAGTGTGCAACTGTCGCTGGAAACTGCCATTACTCAGTTCCAAGTTTTTCTCCAGATCCTGCCATTCATATAATAGAAAAATCATAGTAAAATTTGAAAAACAAGGTCATTGCAATCAAACTTAAAATAATATCTCAGTATTTTTCTATCAAATCTGGAGTCTACTCCTACTGCAATGCACAGCCCATTTCACTTTTTATCTACAGCAAGTTAAATCCTGATATTAACCTTGAGGACAGCCACATAGAGCTTTTGCTCGTACCCAGTCATGCCTTGCTCAAGTGCTGAGGGAAGACCTGGAGAAGGCAATGAGCATGTGTGTTACACAAATTGCCTATTGCTCAAAAGATGAGCAAGACCTTAAAAGGGGGGGATAAGGCAAGATGCCATGTTTATTGATTACATAAAACAAAAACATACAAAGACTTCACAAAGGCAAACACACTCATCATTCACACAGACACACTCCATAGAGATGTTATAGTTACCAGCTTGCTTGCTCAATGTTGGCACTGGGTGGCCAGCCCAGGCTCCCTGAGGATGATGGGAATGGGGATGAACAGATGCATCTGTGCTCCAGTGAAGGTTGCAGAGTGTGAATTCCCTGCTCTGGCATTGCTGAATTCCACTTTATAGGGATTTCAAGTCTTTGTCCACAGTTGAGAAGTTGAGGTACTTTTTCATCTGTAGTCACATCCAGCTGTTGTTTTTCATCATCCTTTTTGTTATCTCAACTTGAGGTCACTCCTGTCGTAAAAGTCATTCTTCTTAGCCTTGAAACCTTGTGCAGGACATGCAGAATTCCTCTTTTATCCTGTTGCTTCGCCTATCTCCTCTATATCTGCTCACAGACTGGTTCTTCAGCCATCCATCTAACAGTTCATTGTCTGGTAACTTGCACATTCAGTGCCTTAGCAAACCTCCTCTTGCTTACACAGACACACTCTAGACATTCCATACACTCTTCATGCATTCAATCAATTATACTACTATCCTTAATATAAAGTTCATAGCTGGATTACATACATAAATGATTACACAGAATTTATTCATATATATACACACACACGCGCGCACGTGCGCGCACACACACACACAAACAAACCATATTACTGTCAATATAATGCTATTTTTACTTAATTTAAACATAACCTATTCTAATGCCAAGCTGTTTAAGCTATCATGTTCTGGCCTTGTATTGTATGTTGTTGTATATTGCTAGAATTAATCAGAAAGACTTTATCTAATCACACATTACATGTGTAGTACCTTCCTGTTCCTCTTGAGATTAGCGGTCTGGAGGACAGACCATATAAAGAGAGGTTGGAAGACATGAGACTGTTCAGCCTAAAGAAGAGAAGACTTAGGGGGGGCTTGGTGGCAGCCTGTAAGTATATGAGGTGAACATCAGGGGCTGAAATTTTGCAGGCAGTTTCATTTCAATGCTGTTTTGACTCGTTTTGAGCTCAAAACAGTGAAATGGAAATGAAAAAGAGAGCTTTGAAACAGCCTTGAAATGAAACGAGGCAAGTTGAAACGTTTCGAGTTTCGAAGCTCAAGCTGGGCTTGGCTGCAGGGAAACAGAAACTAAAGTAAGGAGAGGGAGGGGGGAAGATGTGCTCTCATTATTGACTGTGTAGCTGGCTAGTGACTGTTATCCTTTCCTGAGGTCCCTTCCAAGCTCAGTGCTCCGGGGGAGGGATGGAGAAACTGCATACAAAGCAGCATTGTTTGAACTGCCCTGCTTTCTGCCTTGGGGTCAGTTACTGAGCTGTGTGTTCCAGTTTTGCCTGTCAGCAGCTAGAGGTGCAGGGCCCCAGAACCCAGACTCCCCCTGCACTTCTCTCCTCGACAGCTGGCAGGCTTTGTGGCTGCAGCAGGGCCTAGCAGGCAGGCAGGCAGTTTTCACCCCCCTGTGCCTCCAGGCCTTGTGTCACCTGGTCATAGGAGATGAGGTTGGTCAGGCAAGACCTGTCAGTCACAAAGCCGTGTCGGCTGGCCTTCAGACGCTTGTCTTCTGTTAGTCTGGTGTTGATGGATCCCTTAACAATTTTCTGTAGGATTTTCCAGGGATGGACATCAGACTGATTAGTCTATAATTCCCCAGGTCATCCCTCCTCCCTTTCTTGAAGATAGGGACCACACTGGCCCTTTTCCAGTCTTCTGGACCTTGACTGAGCACGATGAATTTTCAAATATCTTTGCCAAGGGGGGTGAAATGATGTCTGCCAGCTCCTTCAAGACTCTCGGGTGCATTCTATCTGGGCCCATGGACTTGTGACTGGAGTGTGTCAATGCTGCAGTTGAGACATAAAAACCTAGAGGTTCCTGGATAGAGGCTCCTGCCCCTCTGCTCAGGGTCAGAGCAATCTCTGTATTTGAGGTCAGGAAGGAATTTTACTCCATGATCAGGCTGTGCCTTCCTCTGCAGCAGGGGGTGTGGCCCTATTCCTTGGATCTCTCAAGAATATTTTAACAACTTTTGTAGCAGCAGGATGTTGGCTGCTGTTGTCCCCCTGCTTTACCTGTGGCAGGTTAGGGTGTTATGTTCTGTGGTTGCGTCAGGCTCAGGGTGGATTGATTTAGATCATGTTTTAAATCACCAAGAGAAAACCCCAATTTAAATCAAGTTTCCCACTGATACTTCTTCACATAGTTCTTAAACAATGGCACAAGTCTGATCACTAAAACATGTTAATTTACAACTCAATACAGCATTTTGCAACATCTGTCCTTAAACTCTTTTTAATTTTCAAATTTTATTAACTCTAACAGACAAGTCATCACAACACTAAACGTACGTTGACCTTAAAACTTCTACAACTAGATCTCATCTTTCCCACTCCCACTGTCATTTTTATTCATAGACTGAAACAGAAATACGAGTTTTCCTGCTTTTCCCAGCTCCCTGTCAATGTTCTCTCTGTGCCTGCAGAGGAAATGACTGCTGTGAAAAGTTGGCTTAGCAACTGAAGGAACTCTTTTTTCAAGGTGCCTGGCTAATGATTTCCACCAATTCAGGGACTGACTTTGTTCAAAACATCATCAGTAAACATGTACTGTTTAAATGGTTCCCCTCCAGCCCTGAAATTTATTATGACTGGCATAATTGAGGTGTGATTTTGAGATACTCATACCATGACAGCACCAGCATCATCTTCAGAGGTTAGGCATCTACCTTTATATCTGGG